GGGGGGGGATGTACTCGATGTCGGGTGTGACGGATCCCAAGATCGCGCGGATGGAGCGACCGGCATTCGCGACCTCGCGAGAGGTGCCAGGGGCCCCCACCAGAGACGACCATGGTTCCCTCCATGGCCGCCGACCCTGCTGCCAGATCCGGACCAGCCCGAAGAACTCCTCGGTGTCCACGCCATCTTCTCCAGTGTCCAGCCGCTCCACGGCCAGACCCACGTGGACTGGCAAAATGTCCAACGGGCCAAGGTCCGAGGGGATCCACTGCAGCGCCAGGCGGTCCAAGCGCGCCGCAGAGGCATGGTACCGCTGCCACGCGACAGCTGGCCCAAGTCCCTCTTGAACCAGCAAGCAGCGGCGGTTCCACACGCCAACCCATGGGAACTGGAAGCCGCCCCGACGGTCGGTGCACCTCGTACAAGGGATGTTAGTGCATACGAACCGACGAGCCGGGGGGAGCCCTGCGATGGAGAGGGGCTGCCCTGGAGACCCCAAGTGCACCAGCTCCACCACAGAGGCCCAGAGGCGCAATGCGTCCCGCTCACGCCCCTCAGCCACCAGCTCCTGAAGGTGAGCGCTGAACTCCATCCACGCGGCGGCATGGATCACCTGGTACCTGGTGTGGGCCGCAAGGCTGGTTCCCAATTCGCTCATGGGAAAACAGGGTCCCTTCCTGCACAAAAAAAAAGAAACTGTCTCTCCAAGGGTTCCGCCCTCAAAAAGAGAGAACAAACGCTATTTTGGCCAAGGCACTTGAGCCAAAACATTTGTTGGTTCAAACCTATGGCAGTAATGAATGCATGTTCACCCAAGCCTGCCAGACCTGAAACATGTTTATTACATAATGCATTCCGAGTCAAGTGCTAAGTAGTCATTCGGCGAGTCACTCGCTGAAAATTATGTTCCTTCACTGGAGCTATGAATCTAAGTGTGTTGGAACATCTCGGATAGCTGAAACTACCTTTTGTGAAAAGCCGCCCTTGCCTGACGGCTTTCCATTCGCGTGTGAAGCTCCTGCGCCATTTGCCAGCTCGCCTGGGCCTACCAGCAAGGACAGTCAGGTTGCATGAACATAGCAATGCACTCTTGTGCTGGGTGACCATAGAATGATTTGCCATTGATACGCACGTACGACACAAGGACCGGCCTTGTGAGCTAGCAAGGCAGATGCACCAAACTCATCCAAGCGCAATTGCCGTGAGTTCATGTGGCCCAGTAGTCCAAGACCCTGCAACCATTGGCTTCGTGAGAGCTGGATATTGAAGCCAACCTTAGGAATTGCTCTCACCCCTTCACCGCCTCATCAATGCCTCAATCCCTTTAGCAGATTTCCCTTTGGTCTCCCAGCCATGCAACCACGTCTGGCCGCACCTCACGTCTTTGGCCATCTGCCATCAAGTGGACGCTTGAGCTCCAGGGCAGCACAGCAGCAACCGCATTGAAACTGGACGTGGACTGCTGGATGCCCCAGCTCCGCCTTGGACGCGGAGCACAGCCTCCGACTCCGGATAGTCACACGAGTCGCAGGGGCCAATTGAACCCAAAGTTCATGAGCTCTTGAGGTGGACAACCCATATCACGAGCATGCCGAAGCAATGGGAATGTGGTCTTGTGTTATTCAGAGGGGCACTATAGGGTCCAATTCTATGATCGTGAACTCTTGAAGGGATGGACTTGATGTTGCAAAGCCGCATGCAGCGAAGGACTTGCATGGCCGATTGCCAGCGCTGATTGCAGGCGCTAATGGCAACTCCACAATGAAAATAGTCCACTCGGACGTTAGCCACCTGCATGCTTCGGATCATCTGCAGGACCAGAAGTGGTCCCTTTCGTGAGGCCAAATGCTTCAACCCCTCCATGGCAAGCTTCGGCTCAGCTTTCCATGGATCCAGGTCAAGTCTTGCCAGCCTGCGAAATTCATGCGGTCTCACACTCGATGGATTCCAATGACTAATTACTCCAATGCTAATAGCTATTGTGTGCCATTCTATTATACACAGTAATGCTAATATGATATACCCTTGAATTAAAAAACCCTCACTACCAAAACGGCACGACCCCTCACGAAACGCAGCTTTCGGGTGTCGAATTTCCACTCCGAGCTTCCTCGTCGCTTCCTCGTCGCTGCGGTGGCGGGGCGAAGCAGGTGCGCCGGGGCCGGGCGATGGGATGGTTCGGGTGGGTTCCCCGCATCTCATTCACCAGAGCTCCTGAACGCAAGAGCATACAAAAGCTATATACTGCTATGTATAGTGCTTGCTATAGTGCTTTTGACTGTTTATGTATTTAATTATATATATATATACACCCGACTGAAGGTGATTGAAAACAAACTGACACCTACACATTGACATGTCTTCTGCTAGGCTCTTGAAAGCTGCACACCGTATCCGCAGCCCACCTTGCATTTCTGCCAATTATTCTGCGAGCTGCAGTTGAAGGAATCGCCTCCTCCTGAGTGATGGTCTTTGTGATAGGGCGACTTGACCTCCATGCCCATGGCACTGCATAGGAGCCACAGGAGGCTCCAAACATTGGACAGGGAAGTTTGCTCTTTGGCAGTTGCGCTGATTATCGCTGATTCTGTCTGGCATGCGCAATGTTGCACAGGAAAAATGACGCAAACTGACCCTGAGCCAACATATTTGACCTGACTTATCGCGATTCCAATCCAGAAGCAGTCAGACTTGCCAGCCTTGCCAAGAAAAATGAAATGAAATGAAGAGAAGCTGAGGGGCAAGCCCACTGAGAGCTTCGCTCACAAGCGCTGACCTGGCAGTCGCCACGGCTACGTTTGCTGAGCGAATCCTCGGGGGTGACCTCCACGCCGAGGTCATCGGTTCTTCGAAGGCGGTCGCCGAGCTGCCGTGACCGTCGCTTCGTTTGAGAGGATTTCTGAGCTTTGAACTGCAGAGGTATGACAGATGTCATCTGGCACCTGATAAAGACGGATTCTATGAATTCCCAAGAGGCAGATTGCGTAGTTGAAGCCTGGTGCTGGACAAACTCGGAGTACAAATGGACAGCCTGACAGCACTTCGCGATACAAATCCCTAACTCATGAGATATCTATGGATATCTGATGATATCTGTCCGTCCCTTAAAAAGAAACATGTTCTTTTTCAAGCTTCTGATCTGGCGCATCCGGTCCTTGCGCGCTCAGACCGTCAGCTGGCCAACCGGTGCTGCCAAACTCCATTGTCGTTTCCCGGTCTTTCGGGTCTCCCGTCGTATCACAACTGACGTATTCAGAGTATTCATTCAGAGAATTCCGTCCATGTCTCCAACTCCTCTTGTCAGACTTATCTCTCTCCGTGTCTTGATCTTCTTCAACTTGTGGTTGGACATTGCCATAGATTCCCAAACGTCGACCACTGTCACAGTGTCACTGATTGAGCTTCAGCGATGCTTAGTCCAATGCAAGCCACTTAGAATCAGCGGACCCAGGAGATGGCACACTTGGAACATTGACACCTACACCACGCCGCAGGGGTGACTGGACATAGTAACTGATAGTAACTGCAGTAGACCTAATTATTTACACGTACAAGTTGCACAAATCAATACAGCTCATTGGGCCCGTTTTCTGACTGCGACATTGTTTCCAAAAGCGTGAACCCTTAAGAGGTGAATTCGCGGGGGGTCCTCGACGCTGATATGCTCCATGTTGCCAATCGGGCCGCTCTGCACTCTGCCGGTTCCACATTGGGTGGCGACTGTCCCAGTCACGTGGCTTGTCATCGAGTGACGGCAGTTCATCCGTGGCGGTGCTGTAATCAGAGTAAGTGGCCTTCTCCACCTGCCTCTTCAGCTCAGCCTCTTGACATCGGCGGATCTTCCACCAACATTGCCAGCAGTCCTTGCACAAATACTTCCTTTCCATCTTCGTACCCATCTCTCCGGTGTGCCCGTCGCGCACCCGATGGCACTGGAAACACCGATGTGGGTCATGGGCCTCCAAGCTCCGTTCCTCGACATCTCGGCCATCAAACCACCGGCGGGTGCGCTTCTGTCTCTTCACATGCTTCTTCGCTCGTTGGAGAAGCTGAGGATCGCAACAGCTGGGATCGAGTTCCATGGCCTTGGTGATATCCCTCAATGCTCGGGAAGCTTCCGTCGCGAGCCGCACACGTGCCCGAAGCATGAGGTTTCTCGCACTGTCGTGGAGCTGTACCAACTGATTCGCAGTTCTCCTGGCCGTTTGTAAGCCCAAACGATGTTCGCAAATCAAGAGCTGTCTCAAAAAGTCCTCCTGCAAGGAGTTATCAGGCGTGGTGAACTTGAGTGTCTGCCAAAAGCTGTGAAGCCTCAAGAGTGCCAATAGAAATCGCTTTTCTTTGAGCGCCACCTTGGCTTTGTGCAAAGATGAGGCCATGGGCGTGGCTGTCTCGGGACCAGATGAGCCAGGATGAGCTCGTGAATGTAGCCAAACACGAAAAAACAAAGGAAAACCAGGATGTTCGGGACCTTCAAATGTCTCCAACTTCCCAAAGTTTGCGTTTTGACACACTTCGGCAGACTGCCCTGGCTGTAGGCACCACAAGCACATCTCCACTGCATCCGGCAGGGCCCCACTTCCCTGCACACATGACTTGCGGTGACGTGGCACTAACACCTGATGGCCATGATGGCCATCGCAAACCTCTATGTCCAATGAAACGTCAGCTTCCTCCACTGCCACTTCCTCAGGTCGTCCCTGACCATTTGGTCGGCGCAGGGTGAGGCCGTGCCCCGGAATGCCCAGGGCTTCATGCCAAAGATCCGATACCTCAGAGGCTGGAGATACACTGAAAACAAAGGGTATAAGGGGAGCAGTGGGAGCCAATCATTGCCAAATGAAACCTGAGCCTCTCAACAGGAATTCAGACAGACCAAATAGTTAGCACTAAAAACGAATCACGCGAACTCACACCACCGAGTGAAAACAAGCAAGATTATGTCATATTTGGATATATCTATTGTCAATAGATCGGTGGGCATGTGCTTATATGTCTTTGGTTGAAAAAGCCTGCAACATCCTGCAACAAGTTTAAGCCTGACCATGCCAATTGCATAGAGTATAGATGTCCTAGATTTATGTTCAACACCCCCCCTCCAAGCCTTTCTTAGACAATATGTTCCTTCGCGCAAGGTCTTTTCGCAAGCTAATGTCGGCAAGGGCTTTGTTTACCATCAAAGGCCCGGAATGGCCCCAGGACGTAATGGGCGATTTCACACATCCATGCAGGAATGTCCTTCCTGCATCTGCCCTTCAATTCCGCGCGGCTGTAGATGGTGCTTTCAACTCCACCTCGACGAATGCGAGCATAGAAGCTTGGACTTTCACTGATCAAGCGTTGCCAAAGGCCCAGTGCTGGTGCACTGAATGGTTGAAAATCTTTGACCTCATGTGACCATCGTGGGGGACAAATCCACAAGGCCTTGGTCAACTTGGAGTCCGTGAAATAGCTCTGCGTCTGGGCTGTAAACAGCTGAGAAAGGTCGACTTGGAAACTCCTCAAGTCGCTACTGTTGGTGTCTAGGACTTCCACAACGTCACTCTGAAGGCCCAAAACATCAAAACCTCCGTTCAAAAGCAAATGGTTAGGAGCCCTCTCCACCCGAAGGTTGGAAAACATCGCGAAAGCGGGGTAGGTTCGGGTACCCAAATATGGGCCCAGCCCCAGTAGCAGAGTTGCGGCAACTGCCACTGAAGTGGCTCGGCTGACAGGTTCCTTTTGCTTCTCCTGCCCTGGGCCGAGTAAAGCCAAGACTACCAGGAATGCCGTGACTCCGAAGCACCAGCAAATGCCTGCATTGTAAAGGTCGTAAGGGGGGGTACTCGAAGGGCACGTCATGATGGCCGCCTTTCAACCAAGAGGACCAAGCACCAGACCGGTTAGCTGCAGCACAAATGGCCAACATGAGGCCTGGCAGAGCAATCCAGCAAAGCTTGGCGAGGCGGATGGAGCTCAGCCGCTTCGCCAGCTGCTCGCAAGCACCTGGCACCAGCAAGGGGTAGAGCGCCAAGCAACTGGCACTAAATGGATAGAAAGAAGCAGGAGGCAGCGGCAATGCCAGCATCAAGTGGAAGATTGCACCAAGGACCACGGCCAAGCGGATGCAGGCCCCTTGCCATGCTGCTGACCTTCCTGGAGGGGCCACCGTCAACAGACCGGGTAGAAGCACCTCAAACACAGCCGCTGCATGTGGAGCCGATGCCAGGGCTACCTGGCTAAGTTGGCTTCCTGCTGGCACCATGGATGGCACATACTGGGCCAGCAGGGTTCCCGTCACGCTTGATGCGCATGAGACGTGTGGGTCAAACCAATCTGAGTTTAACTTATGTAGAGCCGAAATAAAGTACAAAACCACCAAGTACCATTGCATGGCTGCACACAAGCTGTTCTCAAAATTGCGTCCGGCTGCAGCCACGAGGATGGCCAAGTTAACGATCAAATCCTGCATAATGTGATTCGATCGAGAGCCATGGAACAGCAAGTACAAGCCACAGCTCAAGGCAGCAGGGGGCAAACATCGTTTGGCTTGCCCTGGCACAAGCACCAGAGGCAAAGAAACCAGCAAAGCGATGCCTGGGAGCGGCTTCAACTCACGCCAGTCTCCTTTCACATCTTTGAGCATATGCGCCACCTGCAGCTGACCCCAAAGGAGCCCAAAGATTTCCAAAGCTGCCATGGCACAAGTCTTCCAAAGCTGGCCGTGAACCCCGCTGCTTCTGTGGCTCAATTGGACTGCATTAAAAGGCCTGCTTGCTGAATTCAGATCATGAAAGGTACATCACACAATTCTGATACCTCGTGCCCAGATCTGTGCACCGTGAAATCTGAATCTGATTTCTTGGCAAATTTGCTTGACACTCAAAACTGCAGAACACATCATTCAGTTGGAGGCTGAACACCATGTGTGAGAGTCTAAAAATGTCTAAAGAATTAATCGCTGTTGTGGCTCCGAGTCCCACATGCATGGCAAACCTCACGTGCTACTACAGTACACACTTCACCCCTTGGAAAGAATCAGAGAGGACGGAAAATGTTTGTAGGGATCATCGAGGTCACTGGTTCGAGCACCTGGAAACCCTGCAAAAGAGATATAGGTGAATCAGCACAAAGTCTCCCCTATTGGGGCAACATCAGCCAAATAAGCCAACTTCCCCTAAAGCATCCAAGCAACTGGGCTTCTCTGCACGGCCAAAAGTTCAATACTTACACAGCACTGCTCCATATCAACTCGCTCAAAGCCATCCTTCGACACCCAGCTTCTGCAACTGGTACAAATCTCGTCCATGGTCGCAAGATCAATGAAGAAGGTCGCCTTCATTCATTGCACCATTGAATGTTATGCATCTGTGCGCTACACATACCCAATACATCCCAATACCATGCCAAATGACCAAGCGCCTGCCTTCTCCGCAAGGCGCATTGACTCCAAAGCTGCATCTGCAAACCTTCTTGGCAACGTCTCTCCGGTTCCAAGGACATACCTGGGATGGAACATATCAATAGACGGAAACGTGCCTCGATCGTCCAAGAATGCACGGAAAACGGTGGAGTGTTCCTTCATTGTTCCTTCAGTCACGCCCGAGCCGCTGTGTCGAAAGCTGACTCCAAAGCCATCGTGGTGTCGAAGTATCCTGCTGAGTCTGCGGCACCACAATTTTAAGATATCTTTAAGTGACCAATAAGTTGGTAATGAATAATGAACATAATTGATATAAGGAACTGGAAACAGCCGACCAGGACAATGCTGTGAAACCTGACAACAATGCCATGCATCGATGACCCCTCGCTGCGACACGCCCCTCTGACCTGGCTTGATCAATTACTGTAATATGAATTGATCAAAGTATATAATCACACGACAACCTTGATGAAAATGATTTGTCGATCATGTTGTGAAATCCATGAGAATGTTGCGAGACAAAAATTATCAACGTTATGAAACCGATGACAATGCAATGGAATGGATGAAATTGTTGGGAAAACGCCTGATGTTGTGAAAGCGATGACGACAAAATTAAATGTTTATATATAGTCACGTGAAATATATCCTAGCCTAGTATATGTATGTATATGTATTCGGATGCCCTGATAAAGAGCAGAAACCGTTTGAAAGGTCTGCGTTCAGGAGTCAGAGTCTAGCCTGCACATTGAATACACCACCTTTTATGGGTCCTGACTGACTTCCGCCAACAGGATGTTGATTGTTGCCTCATCACCCCAAGCCGGAGGTGGTCCATGCCCCTGGTCCTGGCCCAGTTGAAAGGAGCTGAGTCAACTCGAAAAAGGAAGATGTTCTAATTTCCTCATTGCCATGGTCTGCACTTCTCCTGGAGGACCTTTCGAACTGAGCCATCTCCAAACAAATCTTCAGTGCCGCATGGCCAGCTGCCGAGGGCCATGGCTGGAGCCGGGTGAAGAAACCAGAAAGGAGAGGCTACTGATCGCTACCACTGACTAGGTGTTGCAAACGACAGGACAAAAATGTGCAAACATTCAGAACGCCAGCGGTAAAAGCCGATAATCTTTGGTCGTGCAAAGCCTTGGATCATCTTCCCTCATATTCGACCACTTTGCTTGTCACTCCCTCCAGCTGACCCTATACTCAAGCTTTTTATAGCTTTCTCATCTAATCACGCTTGCTTGTCTGCTTGTCTGTATCTCATTTCGATATTTAGCTTAGCTCGTGTTTCATTTCATCTCCTCACGTCGGCTCATCCAGCATATACCTACAACCACTCCACAAAGTGAAAAAGGATCCTGCGGCGGCGATGCCCGACATTCTCACTTGCACGAGCTCTGAACAACCGCATGTGGTGTCAGCGAGATCAGCATCCAAAAACACCCACGAACTCTTTCACCCACCTCTTTCCAGTCATGGATCTTGCCCAAAGCGGTAATGGCAGCCGTGTAGTCGCGGTCCTTGAGCTGTAGTAGCAGGGTTCAGTCAATGGTTTTTTGGTGTCTAGCTCTAAGAGCTATATAAGAAGACCAGAAGTGGGAGAATCAACATGAATCAACCAAAATCCAGTGCCCTGCAAGTCGCACATCCACTTTTCACCGCACCTCACCGCGATCCTCAAACACTTGCCTCACCTGCGCAGTGGAGTCTTGGAGGATCTGAGGCGACGTTCTCGTTCGAAGATGAGGATCGCGCGTGTGATTTGCGTGAAAAAGGTAGTGATGATCATGTTATTTGGAGTCAAGATTGAGAGGACTCCTCATCAGAGCCAGCCAACATTGCCATGGGACCCAGCGATTTCACGTCCACTTCCTTGACCTTTTTGGGCGGCGGCTCTTCTGAAGAAGAGCTTGAAGAGGTTTCCCAAGCAAATTTTGAACCATCAGGTGGATCGTCAGCTTCTACCTTCTTAGGTTTCTCTTCACTTGATTCATCCTTGTGGACAGGTTGTGCTTGAAACTGCACCTTTTGAATTTCTTCTTTGCATTTCTTGTCTTTCTTGCTCTTCTTGTCCTTCTTTTTGTCCTTTTTCTTCTTTTTGTCTTTCTTGTCCTTCTTTCCCTTTTTGTCTTTCTTTTTCCCTTTCTTGTCTTTTTTCTTTTGAGCCTTTTCAGCGGCTTTTCGTGCAAGCTTTTCCAGCTTAAGCAGTTTTTCAGATTCTTTTTGTTCAATCCCTGCAACGGCAGCCTCTGAGGCTACCACAGACCAATCCACTCGATATGATTTTTCAGTCTGACCCTGATAATCACCACCAGTCACGGAAGAGACCGAAAGTCGTTTCTCCCCGTAAAGTTCTGTCATCAACTTGCTGATGACACGTTCTTGATCAGCCTTCTGACAGCATTCCATTTGCGCATACACCCCACGTGTGGGCGACCAACACAGCGAACAGGTCTTCAGACTCGCCGAGCACCAATCCGTCACGTACTGAGCAAAATGCGCCAAATCCCTGAAGCTGTTCACCTTCTTGTCGAAGTTGTCGGCATAACAAAGGAAGGCTGCATCAGCGTCGCGGCGAAAGGCATCAACCAGGCCTTCGGGCTTGTAGAGTGGCAAGTAGCTGCCCTCTCCCGTCCAACTCTTCACTTTGAGCGTCGATTTGCCTGGGCAAAATGCAAACTAGGTTCAAGTAAAGGCGGAAACATCGGCGGAATGATAAGGAGACTGCTTCGTTTGGCTCTGCTCTTGAAAGTTGAGCCGTATGGGTGAGGCACAGGCAGGAAGAAAAAAGACGAATCTTTGACTTAAATCACTGGTGCAACCTAAGTTAAGTTGCTGCTGGAGAATTCGATCTCCACATTAAGCGGCTGCCTTGCTGAATCCACTCGGATCAGCGCACATACCACCTGGGGTCGGGCACAAAACCGCCATCAACTGTCGGTATTCTGGTCAAATTTACAAGGGAATGATGTCAAGCTCATAATGGAAATCTTACCATGTTTTACCGCTGCATGTTGCAAGACGAACATGCTTTCCATCTTCAAAGACTTTCTACTGGACCGACCCCTCATACCTACTACAGCATGTCGTCGACTCTCCGGCACATTGCATTACAGTAGCAGAATGGGCTTCGCAAACGATCCATGCTTCATGATGCTTCATGCATCTTCACCCTGTTGCCACACGTTGCGCCACTCACGATCAAGCACTAACCTAAATGAGCCCGCGTTCATGGTTTTTTATTGGTGCTCTAGTTGATCATGGACCAGAGACACAAAATGAGTGTTCATGCTAAAAATTCCATCATTCTCATTCCCTAAGTTTCCTCCATCTCCAGTCAAACGATGTGCTCCTGTTTTTCCTGGTCGGTGCTCCCATTCCATTCCCATATTGCGCCTCTCCATAGAGGCCGAATTCCCTTCGCAGCGCACGGAGGCCCAGGGTCTCGGCGCCCTCCATGACACGAAACTGGATCCGAGGCTTTCCCGGAGCCATGGCGGCGAAGGAGGAGAAACGTTAAGAAAGGCCTTTCTTGTTGTGGTTCGATAGGGGTAAACGCGCATGGTGGGGCTTATTATATCCTATTTTTGGACCTGGGCGTGTTTGTATTCGGATGTGGAATGGAAGTGTTTGGATGCATGGAAGGGTGAAAACTGATGACTGAGATTGAAGGGAATGCTTGGTGTTCGGACCCTAAGGAATGGTATATAGTGATATATAAATATGGTAGCTACAAATACTATCTGGCTGCGGGTTCAGAGCAAAGATTTTCCTCCATGTTCAGTCATCTGTTCGTTTGGCTTGTGATTTGAGTCTGGACGGCTTGACTATTGGGGTAACTACATGCTACCAGTTACCAGGTGCTATCGGGACCTTCTGTGGCTCATGGTTTCATGTTGCTCCAGCTGTGCAGCTAGCCTTGGCCCTACATGGCGTTAAAGTTCACACTGTGCATCAGCACCTCGTAGCAATTCCAACGACTCAAAGCAACCGAACACCTAGTATTTACACAATCTTCCCGGAGTTGCGGGCACTGAGGCGCAAACATTCCCAAGAAGAGCCTGCAGATTTCGAACTCTCTCTCTCTCTCTTTCTCGTTGGTCCTGCTCCCATGGAGCTAACTGCTACTGCTATGTGCTCGTGTGCCTCCCTCTTCAGCTCCGCCACGGTGTTCCGGATCGAATCTTTCGAGGAATTCTTGTCCTTCAACCGCAGGAGGAGCTCCGATCTGGAGAGGCGACGGAGCCTCCTGGCTGACCCACAAAGGGAAATAATCAAAAAGGCACAAACCGGACAAGCCTCATGCAGAGCTGCTACGTTCATTGCTGCCAGCTTCTCCATGTTCCGACTGCTTGCATGTGCACTGTGTGCACAGTCTGGCTTCAATACCCTGCATAACTGGAGAAGGATGATGAGATGATGAGATTTTCTGTGTTCTCTTGCCCACACTTTGGCCAGCCGACTTCCATTTACTGATTATATTATGTTATATTAAATATATATATATATATAATATATATCATTAATCGATCTACCTACTTTCCTAACTACCTATATATATAGTATATCTAGTCCGTATGTATGTGTGTGTATGTCCTGGAATTCGCCCTTGGACAGGGTCAGGGGCGGCACTAGATGTCATGTGGTACGAGTATATATCTTGAGCCCCTCTGAGGCCAGACCAAAGCCTGGAGACGGCAAACAGTCACAAAGCCTGCTTGTGTCGAAATTACGCCACTACGCCAGCATAGACCAGTGGTACCCTGCAACGGCAGGCTCCAAAGCGCACACTGGCACGAACATCTGGCAGCAACACCCTGCAGCCGCACCAGCATCCAAGCTTCCAAGCACACACAGCCATACACATCTGCCAGCGGCACCCTCCAGCAGCATCAGCACCCAGGCTCCAAAGCGCACACGGGCACATCTTCCTATACTTACAAATAGCTCTCGCTTAAAGCCCACACTTCTTCAAATTCAGTCACACCATAGCTGGTCACGGCCATTTTGCACTGCTGAAGGTCTCTGGGTCTTTCAAGAAATGGCTCGTTAACAAGCTGGAGCAGCTTGGTGTGGATCAAGGTCGCTTCACCAAACTGTATTTCAGCTTATCTATGTCAATTTGCCACATCCATGGCGAAATCGATTTCTCCTGGCCAGGCTGTCAAAAGGTGGCCCATCTCATTGAGAAAGAAACTGGCCTGGCCAGGCCTTTAAGTGATCTGGCACAGGGGCTTTGCTGCACCGCACGACTTCAGAACAGTCGTACCAACCGCCAACCTCAAGCAAACGCTAAGTGGTGGCAAATAATAGTGAGTGCGTCAGCACATCTGACATGCGGACGATATTACCAATGATTGCCATGTCCTGTGCACTATTGAATATTGACATATTGATGTTTGGGACTCCCACACTGAGGCGTTGACATGTCCAAAAGTGTACACCCTCAGGCGACATGTAGCCTACCCTACTTCGTGATTATGACTGTGTTTTTTGAGCAGCAAATCCCGAACATCAACAACGTGTGTGGACGTGCTCACCTAGCTCTCTCTCTCTCACACACACACATCCCGCCTTCATCATCCTTGCTTCTGCACCTGCTCAATGGAAGGCCAGCTCAGCTCCGCTCGAATCGATTCCACTTGCTTTCTTGCTTCCACTTCCCACACTCATTCCATATCATTCCATGTCGTGCCGATTCTTGCCGTATGTGCTTCACCTTCACATCAATTGGCTCAAAGGGCGAAGTGCGCGTGTTCCCCATTCCGCCTCCTTCAGTGTGATTTCCAACGGCACCTCTCTGAAGGTCACGTCCGACTCTGGGAGTCCTGGCTGTCAAATGGCAGTCGGTCAAACATCTGTGGCCTCCCGAACTTGAGTGATCTCCAGTGACTAACATCTTGACTTTTTCGACCCACACCTGGATGCTCCTGCAGCTTCCTAAGCTCTCTCTCTCTCTTATTTGCCAACACGGACGCAGGGGTGAAACATGACGGGCCCAAGCTGCCAGGCTGTGCTCTCACCGTGGGTCCAAAAGAGAGCGCAAGCCCAACCATCGATTGATCGGAGCCACGGTTTCGGGCGCTGAGTGAGAGGCCCCCGATGACGGAACGCGCGAGAGCTTCCTCCGCTTGCTCTTCCGGGGCGCCGCTGGAGATTCCAATTCTTGGAGCTCTTGTTGCGGCTGTGCCTCCGCCAACTGAGCGTCCTCTTGGGTGGAAAAGAGGCTGCGTATCACCGAGCTGGCTCGGCCAGGCTGGCCAAGTTGCTTGGCAAGACGGTTGGCTCGATGGAGCTCCTGACAAATCAACCCTTCCCACACGTCAAGGCGCAAACAGCGCGCGGCATTCTCCTCCGGCGCAAAGGGCACCTCCAAGACCAGTGGCTTGTAGCGGCCCACACGAGGCTGAGCAGAAGCCAGCGCGATCGAGATCGTCCAATTTTGAAGCTTGGGTAACTCTTCAGCAGTCCAGGTGAAGAACTCAATCAACAGCTGAACCAAGTCTTCTTCTGAAGGAACTTGCAAACCCAGAGGCTGGGGGCAGCATTTCTCAGGGTTTGCAGGTTTTGCCCTCCATCCAGTTACTGAAGATTGTGATGGCAATGAGCACCGCCGGCCTTCTTGCTGCAGGAAGAAAACCGTCAGCAAAACAAAGCCAAAGCTGCTCAATCCGCCCTTCAATGTGTTGGTGAGCTTCCGGCGCTTCGCCCAGAGCTTCACCAGCCGACATAACGCGGGCGCCATGCGGTCCCGCTGCAAGACCGCATAGACGGCTCTGTCACAAGCGCCTCTCAAGAGACTACCACCCACTGAAACATCAACCACCACGTTCCGCTCGCCTTTGGCACCACAGTGCAAGCGCAGCACTGGAACCTTGGCTGAGAAAATCCTCAAGGCGATTCGGATCTCCTCCAGCTTGGCATCGCTCAATGCCTGGGCCAATCGTTGTAAGCACTGCAAGGCCTCCTTTCGATCGACAGTGTCCACCTCCTTTTGACAGAGCTTCTTGGAGCGGATCACTGCGATGTCTAGGTCCGAGCCGCGCAAAGCCAAGCCCTGGGCGTAGGAGCCTTGCACCACGACCGCTGAATCGTCTCCTAAGAGCTGCCGTGCCAAGAGCTGCACGTGTTCCAAACAGGTCTGCACTGCTTGAAGCTGTACCTCATCTGGCAAGGCAGCGAGAAGAAGATCCCTTAAAGGTCCACCCTTGGGCCCTGAATCCCGGGGCCTAACTGGTCTGACTGGCCGCTGCTTTTCGCCAAAAGCTGCCTTGGTTCGGTCATGCTTTGGCCACTTCTTCTTCCACGATGTGCGAGGCCGCTTCCACTCCGCCCTTCCCTTCTCGCGCATGCGTCTAGGGTGCAGCCATTAGAGCACAAGCACGGCCCACTAACCTTTCATCTGGCTAACGCTGCAGGCGTCAAACCCTGAGCCAGCTTTCAAGGAGAACAACTGCGCAAAGGCCAGAAAACCATATCATATAGAGAACCAGCGTAGTGAGAAAGCCTGACTACTGGTTACATGGAGTTGTGAACAGACAGCCATGGTCACCTCAAGCAAGTAGGCCCTATCTGCCATAGAACGGTTGCCAAGTCTTCCTCTCAGCTTTCTCTCATGCTTTCTATCTTTTTCTATCTAAGCTGGTTGATGTGGCCCACCTAGTTCGTCGGGCTTGTCAGGCCGAAGCAGCTTCACCTGCGAGGCTTTTAGGGCAAGCAGCGGAGCCGGGCAAGCTGAAAAGAAATACGCCTTGACCACATCACCAGGCTGATGTTCATCAAGGGCCGCATATATGTCATTCCTTCCAGCTCCAGCTTTCTTCTGTTTCACAACCCTGGTCCCTGGTTTGACAACATGAATATTTTACGATTCTTACGGCTTCCATGCAAACACTCTCAGTAGCGAGCACTGTCTTGATCCTCCTCCCATCGATGACCTCCAGAATGTCTCCTGGCTTCACGCCTGCCTGTCAGCGGGACCATCCCATCAAGCTCCAAAGGTGAGGAGTGGGGATGAAAGCCGGATAGGTGGCCTGGTGGTACGTACAGCTTATTTAATTTTGTGTTCATGTCCTGGCTATTCTGGAGGTTCCCCGATTTGGAGTCAAGCTTCCTACTAGCTTGACTCCATGCAGCAGTGTTGCCTGGTCGACCGTGCCTCTCCAGCTGCACTATTTTTCTGCAACCCAGCCACCACGCCGCCAGGTCGTCCTCAAAACCAAGGGAATCGCCGTGTTTTTGGCAAGCAGAAAGAATATTTTAGAAATGCAACAACCAACAAACATATACAATTGTTTGCTTCTACGAAAAGCATGAACTGAAGAGCAACAAACGATCTAATGCGCCACATCTGCCAGCTTGCCATCTACATTGACGTCGACCTGCCACCTTTGTTAGATCCCATCCTGACAGTCGCTGGGCCAGACCATCCTGACGGCATTCAATAAAGGACGGACAAATCCCCTACTTATATAATGCATTTTATATAATAGTATATAATGATATATTATATAATGTCAACACGTGATTAAGGAACCCGCACACCCCCCCAATTGGTTAGGCACCCCTCTCTTGGGCCAAATGTTTGCAAGACTAACCGTTACTTGCCGGGGGGTTCTTCATGCGTCGACATTAGACATGCCCGAGCCTGGCCAAGATAGAGGCCCAAGCCAGCTCTTTTCACGTAGCCAAACCTGGCACTGCTTACATGACTCGAATGGCTCCATGACTCGAATGGGCCACCCGCTGGAAGGATGCAAAAGAAACACATACTATACTTTTTTAATCTTGCATCCAATACTGAGTCTCAGCATCGAGAAGGATGCTTGGGCGCTTGGCTTTTGGATTATATTGCTCGATTTGCGCCGCCCTCAAAATTGCGTCATTCTGAGACTGATCTCCATCATATTGAGTATGACTATGCAGTGCATGAATGTCTTCGTTAGACTTAAACACCCAATGCTGACGCGGTCTTCCAACTCTACGTTTCCCTATATGTTTGGGCTCGGCGCTGTTTTGTTGATAGGATACTTGTCTAAGGGGATCGTGATTAGGGGCCCGCAATATATGTCCAGCCAAACGAACTCGCTTCTGATCCAAATCAATCGTAACGGTCGTAACGGGTCTAATTCTTCTATTAGGATCATGCGGATATGCTGTTCTTGAAGCAGGTTGGAACACCTTGTCGTTCGTCCACCGTCGGTCAATGTAAGTTGTGGGTATTTTTAGAATTTGCCTCAACCCACGTAGTTGGAAACTATAAATATTACAGTATACCATCTCCCAAACTGGCTTTGGTATTCTACGCCGAGCCATCGAATGGAAACTCATCTTCGTCTTCTGGGTGGTCCGACCCAGCGTAATCGGAACCAACATGAAGCAACATGCGATGTCGGCGATGCCAAGGGGCTTCAAAATGCTGTTGACGCGCGCCGAGACGGTGTCACTGGGTATGGCAAAGCCAATGCCGGCCGAGGCCCCACTGGGGGAGAAGATCGCTGTGTTCATGCCGATGACCTGTTGGAAAAAGCGTTTCTTAGAGATGCAGCGTTTGCAAAAAGGCCAGAAGCTGAAGGTGGTAGGTCCATCACTCGCGAAACCTACTGTGCACAAACTCCCCCTCCCAACCAACCCTGAGGAGC